GACCACCCTGACGTAGTCCTAACAAAAATAAAGAGAACCCCGTCGAAGAAGCAGGATTGCGTGTGAGGACATCGACGGCAAACGTATATGCTGGCGTGTCGGCTCGAAGACGACAGACTGCAACCGGCGATGCTGTTCGGCCTGTCTCAAACGTATGCGTCCTAAACGAGATAAAAAGGGCGAAGCGGACCAAAGCCGCGATAGAGCTTTACTAGCTTGAAATTTAGCTTTTTATTATGCTTGTTGCATTTCGTGGTCCGCTGATTGAAGATAAAACGAAGCAAACCATTGCCGCGTCGAGTAGCTCCTCTTCGAGCTGACCGTTTCAGCAATACAGTCCTCTTCTATTCTATATACAAACAAAGGGTGTAAGAAGTACACTTCATGTCTGCCAGTGATGATGTTTCAAACAGTTTTCTTCTGCGTATCGATAAAAGCGTCATTTTTGATTATGTTTAATACTCTTATGGTGGTAGCAGGAACAGTGGACCCAAGCAAGAGACGGAGATCAGCTAAACCTTACCGTACAACCTATTTGTTCGTGCTAGTTTACTTATATTATTAATTTCTTCTGCATTCTACAACAAAAGATAACAATTCATGATGGATCACAGTTCACTCAGATTATTCAAATATTTCCATTTATCCCTCTGGGTCAGGCTGTTTAACCAAATACGCATTGTCTTCTTTTCGATATTGACACCCCATTGTTGGGAGCACTAACGATTTTAAAACGGACGGATATTCATTGATTCTCGAAATTTTCCCGCTACAGAAAAAATCATTGCTGATAAAATATGGTTGTTATCAGTTGCTGCACTGTTTGCTCGTGGTTACCTCAGACATGGGTCAGAAAATCCACCTTGAAGCACCATCCTTATTTTCATAGTTTAAAAGTATATTTAAATTAGTCATTAAACCTTTGCCGACTGTTAACCGCGACAATACTGTAAACAGCTCTGCCTCGAACGTCACTGGCCGTCAGACTCTCTGCTTATTGTGTACACAATGCAGCCAAAAAAAAAAAACACTAAAAAAAACTGTTCGATGTGTTGATCCTGTCGAACGCACATGCAAGGCCTAGCAAGATAATTACATCGTGTTGTGACTCTAAATGTCGCAGGAAGGGCAACAACAATGACGTCAGCCACGACAGTAATGTTAACAGCACGTCATCGATTGTTTACATACATCCTACTTAATGCAGACATTTGCCCTTCTGATTTAGCAGAACTTTAAGTACACCAGCGGCACTAATAGCAGCAGCCCGACACAAAGCACCAGCTATGCTCGACATCTCTCAATTGCATGAAACTACAGTCTTTATAGACGAAGTGTGGGAGGACACAGCCTTCCAGCTTCACTGCCGTTTTGAAATCGTCGTCGCTGTAATTGTGCCAGCAGAAACGGCCGTGGTGACTGCTCCAGACAATTGTGGTGTTTCCTTGAGGGTGCCCCTCGTTAACTTCCAGTCCGCTGTGCCTTTACCTGTCCATTCACTAGAGCCATCACTGGCTTGGCGGACGATAAAGCCTACGGGACTGTTAGGCCCCTCGACTAATTCCATTTCCGTGCCACCTCTGCCGCTGACCCTCTAATAGAAACAACAGCTACCGCGCGCTGCCATACGAACGCTGGCGCATCCCTTCAGTTTTCATTACCTAACTTGTACTAGCTTGCATACAGATATGCACGATTTTATCAAACACATTTATACATTTGCTAGTTTTTGAAAACTATAAATATATAGTACCTTAAAGCGATTCAAAGATAAAATGAGCGAAGATAATTTCGATATAAGCTACGATCCTTATATTAGTCGCTCGTCTTCGATCTTGGTAGTTGTAGTCTCGCACTGAGTTTTCTGGTGTTCCAATCAAATTGCCAGTTAAGCCTGAACGATATATAGACATAGTCATCACAGTCTTCATAGTGCTAGGGCATCTGTCTCGTTTGAATAGACAAATTCACAATTATATATCTGTACGCCTGTGCGCGAATCCGTAATATCAGCTTGGAACAAAACTCCCACGCGGCACTCCATTCCTCTGGTTTATCGGGGACAGATGGTTGGATTAGAGGTAAACGATAGCAATTATCTCTCCTCGTAACAATACGATAGCTGTCGCAAAAACCGCGTTGTCAAATAAGCATTAGCTTCAATAGTAAGGAACAGGACGTACACGTTTTACAACGTTCGTACCCGAGCCTAAGGACTTCGAATTTCGAAGTCTGATTACGTGTATTCTTACTTTGCTTACCTCTGACGAGCTACGGCGACCGAAAGGCCGTATTCGAAATGAGCATCGACCAATTATCTAAAAAGCTATTTCATAACAATAGTCTCTGTGGCTTGTTCCTTGTTCTTATCTTGCGCTAAGTTTAAATCATATAGCTAAGTGTACTCTTTGAAAATGTTTAGTTAAGATATTTCCTTCAGAAAGTTAAGCCCAAAATAACATAAATATCGGTTTAAACCAGCGAAGCTGACTCAATCGAGAGCAGTACTTCAATGGAGTGCACTGTAGTCAAATACGACCTCAGTAGCCATCGAAGTGAACAAAATAGAAAATTCACCGTCACTTCGAATCCTAACTAATATAAAGATAGGCAGCACCAGGATGTTATCTATGTTTTAGTTTGATCGATAGCTAACAATAGCACAATTTAGCTATAATAATAAGCATCTATTTGAAGATGTCCATTATCCGTAGTAAATAAATACCCCTGCTGGTGCAGCTGCCAATCGCTTGTTTCCCTTCAACGAAATTTCAGAAAATAATTATAATAACCGCCATCAGATCTCGGTGCCAAGTGAATCGCACCGCCGTTTTCGATCACGTCAATGGACGTACGACTGCTGCTGTTTACGAGAACTACAACTACAACTGTTTATAAGGTTCGTTAATATTCGTCCATGATAAACATCTCCTAGTGGGTGGCATATTTGCCCGGTAGCCTTTACGATATGGAGTTGTCTAGGCTAGGTTGGGAGCCAGCTGTCTGACGGATTGCCTAAAAGCGATACCGGACATTAAATTCGAAACAGAGAGACATGACAAACATGAATGGCAGTACAGGAAGTTTACCGAGCTGAACACTCTCAATGGGTTCCTGCAATCGGAAGAGCGTAGACGGGGGGCTATAGTGGCAGTCTCTTTTTTCTCACGCACAAAACGACGGTGTCGTTCTCCCTTTCGGTGAGCATAACAAATAACGATAGAATGGAATGTGATTCAGTTCAATCATTATAGAAAAACATAAGCCAGGCATCGCTGAGACTCAATATGCAACGGCGGTTATGAGAATTCAACTTTATACGCTACACTAACTGTGGGCGCTGACCTGATGTGCTCTGCCCTATCCTGCTCTGGTAAAAATGAACGGCCGGGTATGTCGCCTTGTTCCTTTCGGAGTCTCTGTTCTAGGTGGCCTTGAAAGCAATCGACGTCTGACGATCGACAAATATCTTCAACAAATCTCACAATTGATGTTCTCCGATCACGCGCAGTTCTATCCTGGCCAATTTTCGCCATCTTTGCCGTATAAAGACGACGTCAAAGGCGTCCAGTACGTGGTAGCGTATTTGCACTTGCCGGAAGCAGCAGAAGCAGATCTCCGAATTTGCCAACAAAACAACCACCACGCATTCGTGTACAGCAGCAGCAGCAGCAGCATTAGAGCTAGCAACAGAAAATGACAACAACGACGACGACGAAGAGCATCAAGAAAATAGCGATATGTCAACAAACACACACACGCACGCACGTCAGTGCATGGAGCTGCCGAAGACAAAGTAAGGAGCTGTCAACACGTGTAGTAGACGTTAGGTTCAATCGAAGACAAAGCAACAATGATATCTCGAGAAGGCATCGTTTACAATGCAGTGATTGCAGTAAATGTGAGAGTGTTACTTCTCAGGCCGCTAAGCTTGTCGCCTGCTAGGGCAGCTATAACTAAGCCAGTCATTCTCGTACTGTAGCCTTAATCGTTCAACCAAAGCCAACAAGACTTCACTCATATGTAACGAATCATTATTACGGACTACCTCTACATTGTAGCGAGCAGCAGTGACCGTTCCTGGTCTAACTACGTTACGTCACTGCGACTGATGTACCGATCTGGCTTGTTCCACCTTTTTCGTGATTTAGCGGCTATGTGATATACATCAAATAACGTGTATCGCATCTATATGAGCATTACTGGCGCACTGTGGCGCCGCCTATGAGGCGAGCAGTCGTGACATCTTTCAGAGTACATGCGAATCGACGCCATCTTACACCCGTCAATAAATTTCACTATTACTATCATTATCGTTATTAATGTTTGTTATCAATGACAAAGCAAGGGATGAAAGTAACGAGAACGCACGCTGCGACGGGCGCACCGATCGTAAACAAATCAACCGATGAAAGCCGTACGCGTATCGATGTGCTTGAACGCAGCCGGTAGCTATCGAAGTTATTTGTGAATCATTACCATTTTTTGCGGAACTAGTCGCTAAAGTTACTGATCAATGTTCGAACGAGAAAACATCTAGACAGTGTTAGGTTAAACAGTAATTCAATTACTCGTAGTATATTCGGATTGTCGTTTTTAATGGCTAAGAGGCCATTGAATGAATTCGACGAAAACACAAACAACAATAAGAACACAGCTGTTTTTGCGAAATTGCCTCTTGCAAAAACTAGAAAATTTACGAGGTTTTAATCGAGGTGCCGCTTTGGCAATCGCAGCCGACATATTTGGGTATAAAGTAAGCCTATTTAAATACAAACACTGAATAAAGTACATACTGCGAACAGCAAATTGGAAAAAAATGAACCAACTCACAAACTGCTCTATATCCCGAGCAGACCTCTGTTCAAGAGTCCTCGGTGCAAATTTGCCTCTGCAGTTGCTCAGCCTTGGCTGCTTTGTAGACACCTGGTACCTTCTAAGCCGCTACATATAAATACATTCGAATCTGTGAAATAACGCTCAAGTCAATTGTACCTTACCATTTCCCGCGTCTTATTCTCTGGCTATCTAGTCTGTCAAAAACTTCGCCTGAGGCAAGACGAGCACATTACCATCTTCTCATTTCCTAAACTGTCCAACTGCAACATGAAATTGGCTTCGAGTTTATACCATCGGTATGGCACATCACTTCCCCAATTATTTCCTTGCTTCCTTCGTCCATTCGGAAAAAGCGTAACCTGCAGACCCTCCCCAAAAATAGAGTAGTCCTGAGTTTTGAACGTAACAGTTCAGGACTACTTGATCTCCTTCCAATTCACTTAGGCTTCTTCGATCCTTGCATTGAGGATCTTGCGAGGCACGACTAAGCGATATCATGTATCTATGTATGTACATGCTAAATTCACGTCTTCCAAGAATGATAGCCCGCTCTGTACATAACGTCTCACCAACAATAAGTACTGTGGTTAGCCAGGAGCTACAGCTGCAGCTTTTCCAGCAAGGACCCACAGCACAAGAGCTGGCACAGTTTTTGCTGATTCGTGATTTTTCTGGTCTGCATTTTAAGCACAAATAGTCATAATCGCATAGTCCACTCGAGAGCTCCATACAAATAAGACACCATCCATATACCACCTCACACAATATCACTATGGACGTTCATATATTTCATCAAGGTCTTGTCATCTTCTTTTTTGTGTCCCATTAATTCAGCAGGCTGGCAGGCAGGCAGGCAGGTAGACAGGCAGGCAATGGACTAGTGACAGCTTATAGACTTTGCTACAAACTCGAGCACTCGGATGAGGAGCATTTACTGCATTTCAGAGGAGAAAAAACTTCGACTGGAGGCAACGAAAACAAGCGGCCGGCGTAAACGAATCCAGACCCCATCATGACCACTAGGAAAAATAGCTTGATAGATTCAATTGCAGTACGTGCACCTCAATCTGACATCGATGCCCGATGCAATTATTCCCTTAAGATGATTTCTTTGCGGTAGAGCTTCGTATCTCAGGCATCAGTACTAGCGAATGCGAAACGACCATACGAGAATAGCACGATCTCCACGTGTCACTGCTTTATGCCAGTCGATCGCTGTTCCTGTCGTGTCTTGTGAGAGGTCAGACGGAAACGACAGCTAGGAGTTTCTGCGATCTTGGCGTGCTCCTTGTTCAACGTATTGGGCATGACCAAAGCGTAACTGGTCTAGACTCGTTCATCACAATCGTCGAACTGATAACGACCTTTGTCTAACAACTTTTTCAAAATAACACACGTTTCACGTAGAATAAATGCTTGTCTCCTCTACCATTTCGATATTTCCCACGCAACACCTTCGAGCGGCCGTGTTATATTTGCAGAACTCATATAAGCAAATAATTGCTCTCTCGAACGTATCAAGAAAGATGCAAGTAATTTAACTTAGTTAGATGGCAAGAAATAAAAGCAAATACAGATCAATCAAAGACAAAACAGTAAATTATCGTTGCCAAAAAAAAAACTTAGAGCAAGCAAATAACCCTATGCTTTCGTTTCGTCTTTCTGTAACGTTTCTTTGCGCGTTACATAGTTTCGTCACAGATTTTCAACTGAGGAATCGATATCTACTCGTTCAGATTAGAGCTTCAGACAGCTCCATCTCGCGATGCCGCACTCACCTCAACCGTCGCGCCACTTAAACAGCCAGACACAACCAACCCAAAGCCGATCTGGCCTGTGGTTGGGTCTCCTGGGCAATGGCGCGGGGGCAACTGGATCGCTACTCCATACCGGCGTTGTTAGTCCACGGCGGACGCGACCGTGCAATTCGATGCGGCGACTGCATCGATCGTAGTGGCAGCAGCAGCAACGGCAGATTCTGTTCGTTGCTGCGCGTAGCAGCCACGGTGGCTCAGACCGCCGTGAGTTGCTGGCATCGGCGAAGCCCTCGCCCCCTCATGCGCCGTAGGGCAGAATGTTAACTCGCGCGCGAATTCACTCACCCAATCCAATCCAATGGTATAGACCAGAGCAAGAAGGCCGAGTCAGCCAGGGCCGAAGCGAACCGTACTCAGCAAAATGAACAGCGACCAGTTTCTTGCAAGCGGCCACGTCTGCGTATGGTAGACATGTATCGTTGGCGATACTGCAATTCCGGCCAGCTACTGCTCGATCTGACCGCTGCAAAAGATAGGAGTATACCGGGGTGGGTGAAGGCTTACCGTTACAAGCGAACTTATACAAATGAGAATAGTATGTGTGCATACTTTATTCGGTATCTTCGTGACCAACTCGAGTTCACATGACCGTCATGGCCAACCAAAGGGATTGACAGTGCATCTTGTCAATGGTATACGAAGGATGGATATTTTAGACCTCAAAGATCTAACTGCTCTTAAAGGAATATGGCGTGACAATACACCGTGAGGTTCTTGATATACTAGACTATAGCTCACGTTACGACGGGCGTTAGTTCTGCTAAAACGCTATATATGCGCTCTCTATATAACTTCTTCACAGTCGCTCGTAATTTCAGGCGGCCGAGCTATTTCGGAACGACGATACGCTTAAGCATAATTAAAAAACTATGCTAGATAACCAAAAACGCTGAGTCAACAAATAAAATGCACTGTTTTTCTCTCCGAGTTGTACGTTAACGTAGCGGAGCTAGTTTCGAAAGGTCACGCACCTGTCGAATTACCTCTATGTTGAGCTACATTCATATATA